TGGGTGCTCTTGGCAGGGCCTCCAGGCCTGGTTCCCACTGTCTCCTGGCCCCCTGTTCCCTGGGAAGTGCGGTGGTGCCTCTGGCAGCGCAGCCTTTGCCTCGGCAGCCCTGGGCTCTGCTGAGCAACCCCTTGCCCCAGGGCAGAGCGCACAAGGGGACAGTGAGGGCGTGGGATGGGCCGTGGCAGCTCATAACACTGGTGCCACCTGGCCATGGGACACATGGCACCACCCAAGCCAAAAAGGAGGGAGGGGATTTTGAACCCCAAGATACTCTCTTCCTACATTGGGTCTTAACCACATTTCTGAGCCATTCCAGCCACCTGGCTAAAAAAAACATCTGTGCAGCTGTGACAGGTGCGGGCCCGGCCGTGGCCGCAGGATGCTGGGCTCCACGGGCCCAGCACGGCCGGTCCCGCTGCCCTGCCCAGGCCCGGCGGCTCTGGCCTGGGGGTACCAGGGCACCCCGCTGTGTCCCCATTCCCTCCCCCCGCCCAGGAACGCCAGGGCTGGCTCCAGTGCAGTGCGAGGACCTACCAGGAGATGGTAGCGGGCCCGGAGCCCCCTCATGGCCGGCGCTGGCTGCTTCCGTGGGGCCCAGGGCTGGGCCTGGCGCTGCCGGCAGCTCTGGCTGCCACCCCGGGCTCGTTAATGTTTACCCAGGGCTCCTCCCCGGGCAGCCAGTGCCCCCAGCCCGGCCCACGCGCACCCCTGTGGCATCGGGCGCAACGGCCTTCCCAGCTGGCACCAGGCACCTCTGGCTTTATCCTGCTCCGGTTGGAGGGAGAGTGGCAGCTGGGCCACCCAGGGGATGGGATATCCCGAGGTTGAGATGGCCTGAGAATGGGTCACTGCGATGAGGCCGTGTCCCAGAGAGGCCGTGTCCCAAGGAGGCTGCATCCCGATGAGGCCGTGTCCCAGGGAGGCTGTTTCCCAAGGCCGAGCTGCCTCCCGACCCGGCTGTCCCAAGGATGGGCTGCTGGTGGGGCCGGGGCCATGTGCAGGTGGAGGGAGTTTGGCGAGGAGGGACGTGCCAGGGAGCGACCCCTGCCTTGTGCCTCCGCTCATGCAGCCACATCTGCAAAGGAGATCTGGCCAGCGCTGCTCCCCACAGTGCCTCCTGCTTCGAGATGGCTGTTTCGGGGGCCTGCAGAGCCCCTGCTGCATGTGGGAGCCCACAACTGGGGCACGGGAGTGTGTTCCCTGCTGGGGGTCCCTGCAGCCTCCGTGGGCCCCTTCCGTTCCCGGACTGCCTGGAGCCCATCCCTCACCAGGGCTGTCCCATGGTGGCAGTGTGGCCGCTGGCTGCCGCCTCCGGAGCCACCGCTAAGCAGGGAGTGTCACCAGCCACCCTGTGCTGTTGTTTTGGGATCAACAGGTCGGGCATGCTCGGTGTTGCCAGTTGCAACACGACTGTAGCAATAGTTGTGTCACCTGTCAACATCGTGCCCTGGGAGGGCAACAGCTGGATGGTTCTGGCAGGGGGACACGAGCGATGCCTCTGCCCCACTGAATGGGGCAGCGCTGGGGGCAGAGGGCGTCGGGGGGAGGTGGCCCTGTCCTTGTCTCCCCCTGCTCTCCGGAGGCTCTGGACCACATGTGCTGGTGGGGTCCATGCCCGGCCATGGACTCACCACAGGGACTTGACGTATGGACCTGCTGAGGCCCTGTCTCCAGCTGTGCCCCCGTTCCCAGCTGTGCCCCCATCTCCAGCTGCAACCCTGTCTCCAGCTGTGCCTCTAACCCCAGCTGTGTCCTGACCCCCAGCTGCAGCCCCATCCCCAGCTGTGCCCCGTCCCCAGCCGCGCTGTGGGGCTGCGCTGCCTGTGCCGGCTGCGCATGGGGGTGACGCGCGGCTGCGCAAGGCAGCTCTGCTCTCCACACTCCTGCATGAGGAGCACCGGGGAAGCTGGTGCTGCCTGGCCGCTCCGAGGCTGCTGCCGGGAGCATTTCCCGAGGCTTCCAGGAGGACCCGGCCTTGGGTCCTTCTTTCCCCATGAGGCTCTGGAAGCCGAGGGAGGATCTGCGGCCGCTTCTGTGGCAGGAAGGAGGCACCGGCAGCGCCTGGGGCAGTTTCCCAACCAGCGGCTCCAGGGGGCTCGCGCGAGGGCCTGCCGCTCCGGCTCCGATGCCTCTGGAGCAGCTCTGCAAAGAGGGCAGCCCCCAACTCAGCCCTGCTGCTCAGCAGCTCGCTCTGAGGGCAAAACGCACGCAGCATGAAAGCCGTAAAGAGCAAAAAAAATGCATGTAGATTTTTGTCAGACAAAGCGTGCAACCAAAAGCCTGAAAGCCCACAGAGAGTAAATATAATTGGTTAAAACACTTCTTAAAAACAAAGCAGCTTTGGGGTCAGGGGCACTGCGGCCCCTTCTTTCCTCCCGATCCGTTTGCACCCCTGGGACCACTCAGGATGCCCTGGAGTCCCCCAGCTCCCTCGGGGCCCCTTCGTTTGCCTTTTGGTGCATGTCAGAGGCTCCTGCTCCCCTCCAGCCAAACCCTGCCTTTCCCAGACTCCTAAATTCTGGGAATATTTATTTGCCTTAGATGCAAGTGAAAAACTCCAGTCTTGCAGCAGCAAAAAAAATCGCATTCTTTTCCCCTTGTTTACAGCACATTAACACAAATCCTGAGCTCCTTCCACAGCTTGTCACACCCTGCAGGCCCTGGCCACGAGCCGCCTCCTCCTCCCAGCTGTGCTCAACGCGGGGCACCCAGGCCGCATCTCCAAGCTGCAGTTTATTGTGCTCCTGGCCAGGGCCCCGGGCGCGGAGCCTCCCGGGCCGCGCGGCCGAGCAGCCCCGCTCACCAGGCAAGGTGCCGAGAGCAGTGCAATAAGGCAAAAGTAATTACCGTCCAGAAAGAACAAAAAATAATTTAAAAAAGAGCTGCTTGGGCAGGCCCTGGGCATGTCGGTGTTTCGATTGCTCTGTAACAGATGTAGTTTCTAGTTTGTCAGATTAGCAACCCTCCAAATTCTTCTTGGGATCAACGGGGCAGACTGGCTGCCTCTTGCCCAGACAGCAGTGGAAAAGCTTCCTACACTGTGTTTAACTACTGCTGCTCCATGCCAGCATGCAACCAGCAGCAAAAAGAATCCAGCCTGGGCTCCCCTAGGTCAGTCCCACTCACAGAGTTAGCAGTCCAAGCTCTCAGGCGAGCAGGCCCGAACGTGCATAACGGGAAGGGACATGGGACCGCGAGATGCTGTGGTTTTTGTGCAGGCCTCCGTGTGCAGCTACAAGAGAGCACCAGTGTCCCTGCAAGAGGAGGACCCCGGGGAGCTGCCTGTTAAGCTGCTGCGGGACAGCTCGAGCCCCACAAAAGCAGCATCTGAGGCTCCCTCCAAGTCTGGTTTCTGCTCTCAAAGGGCGGGTTTTGACACCTCCTGGTCCCTAGCACGGGCAGGCAGGCTGCTCCCCGCATGCGCAGCACGCTACAGTTCATGTCCCGCAGCGCCACGCTGAGCGACGTGTGGAGAAAAGCCTCCCCCCTTGCCATCCCCACAGTAGCAGTGTCTCTTCCGCCGAGACCCTGCAGTGCTTCTGAGCAGCTCCCAGCATGAAGGTGTCTGTGCTGCCCCCGTCCTGCTCTCCTGCTTCCAGCCCACTCCGAGCTCTCAGCAGTTTTGAGCTTTATTACCTATGGCCACAGCCTAAGCTGCCCTCCTTCCAATGGGGTGTCCGTTTCACACAAGCTCTCACTGTGCCTGAGCAGATTGTTTTTTTCCAGATCCAACAACAGGATGAGAACCAAGAAAGATCATGTGAGCCGAGTGCAGCCCGAGTTTAGGTCCTGATGCCAAGAGATTGTCACGTGCCAAGCAGGAACACTTCTGGTCAAAGCAGTGAAGGGGGAATCTCCAGGAGAAGCAAACCTCCCTGAGGAGCAGACCAGGGGACACGCTCTGTTCTCAGCTCTCGCTGCGCCAGCCCCGTGTGTAGCCCAGGCACTTCCTCCAGTTCCTGCTGGACTGCCCAGAGTTGCTGGCCGAGGTCGCAGTAAAACACAGGGCTGAGGGAAGAGGGAGACACTCCAAGGGAGGCACCGGGGCTGCTGCCTGCAGCTCTTGCAGTCTCTGCACTCACTCACTGCTGTAGCTCAGGCGTTCCAGCGTTCTCGGCTCTTTCCTTCCGTAGGCATCATCCTCGAGGTCCGACCTCATGCAGGGAGCCTTCCCCACCCACCCCACATTCCCCAAGCTTTGCAAGTTCCTTAGAGTGGTCCATTCCCCAAGACTGGTGAGCATGATCCCTACTTCAAAACAAGCATGGCCTCTGTCCCGTCCTGCCTTTGCAAATAGAGTCCGTGAGTGAGGTAGTATTCCCGTCGGAGGAAGGCATAGAAATAATCCGAGACGAGCAGGATCTGCAAAAGTGAAACGTTCAGACACATCACTAAAGTTTCCAAAAAAAGGGATAAAGGGGACATGTGTTTGTGACAGCCAGGGAAAGGATTTAAGATCTTATGCTGTTCGTGGTGTTTTGTGAGAGGAGCCACAGCAGCCATGCGAATGTTCCTTGGCCTTGATCTCACATAACAAAACCAAGGGAGGGTCAAAGCGATCACAGCTTGGACGCAGCACGTCCATGAAGAGGCCAAACCGCACGACAGCGGCAGGCCTAGCTGTGCACAGCTTTCCCGACCACCCCAAAGCCCGCGTGCGTCCTGCTTCATGCGAGTGCTGTAATTCAGCCAGCCCAAGTGCTGAAAGCTGAGGCCTTTGCAATTGTGACTGTTCCTCAGTGGCAATTTACACCAGAAAGGCTTGGAGACTTGCAGGCAGAAGAGGAACCTTATAGATGCACCTCAGCAAACAGGAGTTCTTGGCAGTGTAACAGAACAACATGTGCTAAGAGGCAAGGAGGAGCGCAGAGGGACCGAAGCTGCAGCTTTGCAGCACAATATGCAAGGGCAGCATCAGAGTACAGCACTCCTATCCCCACTGTGTCCCCATCTCCTTCCTGCCCTGTGAAGTGCTCTCAGTGGGGCAGACAACCCTGTGCTTAAGCTCGTGCTCTGGTTCTTTTAAATGGAGAACAGTGATGGTTGCCCCTAAAAAGCACCCTTTTCCCCCGATCCAGTTTAGAACATGCTGCTACACAAATCGATGCTGAACCATCCTGCTTGGCTGGGAGGGTGAAAGTCCCCCAGGCTGGAATTGCCTCCAGCTACTTTGTAATGTGAAATCACAGCTGGAATACCTTGGAATATCTTGGGAGTGCACGGAGCGGGGAAGCCTGACATCCATCACGGGGTCACCCCCTCCTGAAGCCCCTCCTGAAGTGTTGTGCTGCGTTGTCAGGAGGACAGCGAGGAAAGGGCAGAGGTGCCCGGCAAGGGAGAAAGCAGTAGCACTGATTCGGGTGCCTGCTCTGCTGCGCGCTGTGGCTGACGGTGGCCACACTCCATCAACTCCTTTTTTTTCCCAATTAAACTTATTTGCAGATTTCTTTTCACAGGAAAAGAAAGAACAGGGGCTGGCGGCGATGGGGCTAGGTTCTTCTCATAAGAAACAAGAAAAGCAGAGAGGAGATTTTTGCTCTGTTTGCGTTTATACAGAGCACAAAACC